GAGACCAGGGGACAGTAAAGAGTGACACACACAGCTGCAGACCAGGGGACAGTAAAGAGTGACGCACAATGCTGGAGACCAGGGGACACTAAAGAGTGACGCACACAGCTGGAGACCAGGGGACAGTAAAGAGTGACACACACAGCTGGAGACCAGGGGACACTAAAGAGTGATGCACACAGCTGGGAGACCAGGGGACACTAAAGAGTGACGCACAATGCTGGAGACCAGGGGACACTAAAGAGTGACGCACACAGCTGGAGACCAGGGGACACTAAAGAGTGACACACACAGCTGGGAGACCAGGGGACACTAAAGAGTGACACACACAGCTGGAGACCAGGGGACACTAAAGAGTGACGCACACAGCTGGAGACCAGGGGACAGTAAAGAGTGACACACACAGCTGGGAGACCAGGGGTCACTAAAGAGTGACGCACAGAGCTGGGAGACCAGGGGACACTAAAGAGTGACGCACACAGCTGGAGACCAGGGGACACTAAAGAGTGACGCACACAGCTGGGAGACCAGGGGACACTAAAGAGTGACGCACACAGCTGGAGACCAGGGGACACTAAAGAGTGACGCACACAGCTGGGAGACCAGGGGACACTAAAGAGTGACGCACACAGCTGGAGACCAGGGGACACTAAAGAGTGACGCACACAGCTGGGAGACCAGGGGACACTAAAGAGTGACACACACAGCTGGAGACCAGGGGACACTAAAGAGTGACGCACACAGCTGGGAGACCAGGGGTCACTAAAGAGTGACACACACAGCTGGGAGACCAGGGGACACTAAAGAGTGACGCACACAGTTGGGAGACCAGGGGACACTAAAGAGTGACGCACACAGCTGGGAGACCAGGGGACACTAAAGAGTGACGCACACAGCTGGGAGACCAGGGGACACTAAAGAGTGACGCACACAGCTGGGAGACCAGGGGACACTAAAGAGTGACGCACACAGCTGGGAGACCAGGGGACACTAAAGAGTGACGCACACAGCTGGGAGACCAGGGGACACTAAAGAGTGACGCACACAGCTGGGAGACCAGGGGACACTAAAGAGTGACACACACAGTTGGGAGACCAGGGGACACTAAAGAGTGACGCACACAGCTGGGAGACCAGGGGACACTAAAGGATGACGCACACAGCTTGGAGACCAGGGGACACTAAAGAGTGACGCACACAGCTGGGAGACCAGGGGACACTAAAGAGTGACGCACACAGCTGGGAGACCAGGGGACACTGAAGGATGACGCACACAGTTTGGAGACCAGGGGACACTAAAGAGTGACGCACACAGCTTGGAGACCAGGGGACACTAAAGAGTGACGCACACAGCTGGGAGACCAGGGGACACTAAAGGATGACGCACACAGCTGGGAGACCAGGGGACACTAAAGGATGACGCACACATAATGCGTATACATATATAAGTAAAGCTCCTGATTGATTTGAATATTGTCAGGAGACAATCTGAGGAAAACTTGATTTCATTCCGATTTACAAACGTTTTAAAGAGGAACCTTTGTGTTAGGGCTGCAGGATGTGAAGCTGTGAGTGTTTACACAAGAACTCCACAGGGAGAACACACACACACATACACACACACACACACACACATATTAATCCAAATTCTCAGTGTGAGAGAAACAGCCTGAAGCTTTCTCTGCTGTTTCATCTTTTTCAAATCTATAAAAACAGACAAACTGCAGCAGAAACAACACCGTGGGAGAATGTCTATAATGTTTATACGTTTGTACTTTCCTTGTTATGGAGCGTTCACACCGGACGAGATGCGGTTTTTGGGCGCGTCGCAAATTCATAGATAGACGCCAACTTGCTCCGGCGGCGTGAACAGCTCGATTGAAGAGGGCCGCGTCAATCGAGTCAAATATTTTCAACTCGAGCGTCAAATTTGCATTCTCGCGAAAGCCAATCGGTGTTGAGATTCCCTCTGACGTCCTGCCGTTGCTCAGATGTGAAGATGGAAGAACACATTGTCGTCGCTGTTTATGTCCTTTAAAGGTCCTCGTCCTTGTGGAGGCGTGTGGAGGCGTGTGGCGCAGTGGATAGAGTCTTGGTGTTGGGATCAGGTTCAAACCCCACTGCAGTGCTCCTGTGGGGATTGCCCACAGAACTGAATGTATGTGAGTCGCTTTGGATAAAAGCGTCTACTAAGTGACATGTGATGTAATGGGTTCCCGGAGAAATACGAGTTTGTGTGCAACCGGAGTTCACAGATCATGAACTGACTCCGTAGGGAAACGCCAGTCATCAGTTCCTGGATGAGAAGATTCTCCAAACTGTGTGCGACGCTGGATGATAATGAACCGAGACACGACGGCGTTTGCTGCAACGTTTGCTGGTCTTCCACAGAAGGTATAAAGCGACAGTTGTTGTAATATCTTCTATAACGAGGACAGAAAGAAACACAACTATTTTTCCTGGACGCGAAACAACATCAACGGAGCGACTGTTTGAATGACGCGATAAAAACCACTGCAAGCCGTGGTGAAAGTCGCACGATTAGATCGATGCATCATAACAGAGTATTCCTACACTCTGGTACTTACACTTTTACTCAAGTGCAAGAGCTGAGTACTTCTACTTTTACTCAAGTACAATATCTGAGTACTTCTACTTTTACTCAAGAACAAGATCTGAGTACTTCTACTTTTACTCAAGAACAAGATCTGAGTACTTCTACTTTTACTCAAGTACAAGATCTGAGTACTTCTACTTTTACTCAAGTACAAGATCTGAGTACTTCTACTTTTACTCAAGTGCAAGATCTGAGTACTTCTACTTTTACTCAAGTACAAGATCTGAGTACTTCTACTTTTACTCAAGAACAAGATCTGAGTACTTCTACTTTTACTCAAGTACAAGATCTGAGTACTTCTACTTTTACTCAAGTACCAGATCTGAGTACTTCTACTTTTACTCAAGAACAAGATCTGAGTACTTCTACTTTTACTCAAGTACCAGATCTGAGTACTTCTACTTTTACTCAAGTACCAGATCTGAGTACTTCTACTTTTACTCAAGTACCAGATCTGAGTACTTCTACTTTTACTCAAGTACCAGATCTGAGTACTTCTACTTTTACTCAAGTACAAGATCTGAGTACTTCTACTTTTACTACAAGATCTGAGTACTTCTACTTTTACTACAGGATCTGAATACTTCTACTTTTACTCAAGTACCAGATCTGAGTACTTCTCCTCCTCTTAGTTGAGTTATCCTGATATTATTCAGAGTCCTCTGGGGCTGGACCCCCTGCTGTGATGAAATGACTGCTGGGGCTCTGATTGACAGAAAGACTATTAAATACAGTCTTTGTCTCCAGTAATGCAGACCTGCGGGAGCTCTGAGGGGTTTTGGACCGGAGGAATATTAGCACTGCAGATTCAGAGTTCAGTCACAGCTGCAGCGAGGAAACACTCAGCAGGAAGTAGAGATATATGAGAAGTATAATATATATATATATATATATATATACACACAAGGAGCAAATATCAGTTTCATCTCATAGTTTGCATTCAATATTTAGCCTCGTCTTTAAATCCTACATGCTGTGGATCGAATTTATTTTCAAAAGCTTCCATGTCTTGAGACCCAACGACTCCAGAACCATGCAGCAATGTTTACAGAGCTATAGGAATGAGTCCTAAAACCTTGACTCAGCATGTCATCACTCCAGATGACGTGAAGTCATGTGACCGTGCTGTAGTTCCTTTAAAGCCCAACATTAGCCTCCTTTAGCTTAGCGGTGGTGACGTGAAGTCATGTGACCGTGCTGTAGTTCCTTTATAGCCCAACATTAGCCTCCTTTAGCTTAGCGGTGGTGACGTGAAGTCATGTGACCGTGCTGTAGTTCCTTTATAGCCCAACATTAGCCTCCTTTAGCTTAGCGGTGGTGACGTGAAGTCATGTGACCGTGCTGTAGTTCGTTTATAGCCCAACATTAGCCTCCTTTAGCTTAGCGGTGGTGACGTGAAGTCATGTGACCGTGCTGTAGTTCCTTTATAGCCCAACATTAGCCTCCTTTAGCTTAGCGGTGGTGACGTGAAGTCATGTGACCGTGCTGTAGTTCGTTTATAGCCCAACATTAGCCTCCTTTAGCTTAGCGGTGGTGACGTGAAGTCATGTGACCGTGCTGTAGTTCCTTTATAGCCCAACATTAGCCTCCTTTAGCTTAGCGGTGGTGACGTGAAGTCGTGTGACCGTGCTGTAGTTCCTTTATAGCCCAACATTTGCCACCTTTAGCTTAGCGGTGGTGACGTGAAGTCATGTGACCGTGCTGTAGTTCCTTTATAGCCCAACATTAGCCACCTTTAGCTTAGCGGTGGAGACGTGAAGTCATGTGACCGTGCTGTAGTTCCTTTATAGCCCAACATTAGCCTCCTTTAGCTTAGCGGTGGTCACGTGAAGTCATGTGACCGTGCTGTAGTTCCCATTATAGCCCAACATTAGCCTCCTTTAGCTTAGCGGTGGTGACGTGAAGTCATGTGACCGTGCTGTAGTTCCTTTATAGCCCAACATTAGCCACCTTTAGCTTAGCGGTGGTGACGTGAAGTCATGTGACCGTGCTGTAGTTCCCATTATAGCCCAACATTAGCCTCCTTTAGCTTAGCGGTGGTGACGTGAAGTCATGTGACCGTGCTGTAGTTCCTTTATAGCCCAACATTAGCCACCTTTAGCTTAACGGTGGTGAAGTCATGTGACCGTGCTGTAGTTCCTTTATAGCCCAACATTAGCCACCTTTAGCTTAACGGTGGTGAAGTCATGTGACCATGCTGTAGTTCCTTTATAGCCCAACATTAGCCGCCTAAGTGGTAAACAGTAGTTTCCTCAAGTTTAAAAACGTGCAGCCTTGCAACCTGCAGAGCGCGTCTGAGCGGCAGCTGGCCATTTTTATCAATAGATATAGATATGTGTAGCGTAGCGTTAGCTCCTCACAGATAGTCTAGCGTTAGCTCTCACCTGCAGAGCGCGTCAGAGCGGCAGTTGGCCCTCAGCTCCAGGCAGGACGGCCTGGTTCTCTCCTGGTGGGAGCAGGACGGGACGATGGTGTGGCGGCGGCGCTCAGCGCAGGCCTGATCCGAGCAGGAGCAGAACAGCAGGGGGTAGCTGAGCTCCCAGGAGACTCGCTCGAAGAACTGACGCAGAGCCTGGGCACAGAGGGGGGCATTTTATTCATTCATTGCATCACATGGTTGAATACGCACTTCTGATTGGTCCATTTGGATATTCTTAGTGTAACTCTCGTGAGTTCCGGCAATGTATAAACTAATTAAAAAAAAAGTTTTTTATTTTATTATTTGAACATATTATATATATATATATTATATTCTACAATGCCATGTCTTTTTATGGTGCTGCTTGGTTTTTAGAATTAAACCCAGTTTTGTTTAAAATGTATTTTTCAAGGTATTTCTGCACCCACCTTCTGACACCTCTTGCGGCTGCAGGGCTCCTGATTGGCCGGCGTGGACTGAGGGGGCGTGGCCTTGCTGCAGATGGAGTTGTATGCAGATCGAAGGCGTTTGCACGTCTCGTTCAGATTACACGACTTCGCCGCGTCCAGACACGGGTTACAGGTTTTCCCCAACTCCGAGCAGGGGCTCATCCTCGACAGAGACGAGTCTGAAAGGTGCGAAGAAGAATATATTTAAGATTAAATGGACGTCAGGGGACAAGACATCATCTGAGAGACACTAGATGACAGCAAGATCTGTTAAAAGAGTCTTAAAGTAACCGAAAAGAGATGGAAAGTGACATCAAAGAGACATCAAATGACAACAAGGGGACACAAAGGGCTACAGAGAGACAACATAACACAAAATGATTACCAGCCACAGAAAAGTACATCAAAAAATACGAAACGAATATAAAGAGACACAAAATGACTTCAAAGAGACACAAAATGACTTCAAAGAAACACACAATGACTACAAAGACACACTAGATGACTTCAAAGAAACACACAATGACTACAAAGACACACTAGATGACTTCAAAGAAACACACAATGACTACAAAGACACACTAAATGACTTCAAAGAAACACACAATGACTACAAAGACACACTAGATGACTTCAAAGAAACACACAATGACTACAAAGACACACTAAATGACTTCAAAGAAACACACAATGACTACAAAGACACACTAAATGACTTCAAAGAGACTCAAAATTACTTCAAAGAAACACTAGATGACTTCAAAGAAACACACAATGACTACAAAGACACACTAAATGACTTCAAAGAAACACACAATGACTACAAAGACACACTAGATGACTTCAAAGAAACACACAATGACTACAAAGACACACTAAATGACTTCAAAGAAACACAAAATGACTACAAAGACACACTAAATGACTTCAAAGAAACACACAATGACTACAAAGACACACTAGATGACTTCAAAGAAACACACAATGACTACAAAGACACACTAGATGACTTCAAAGAAACACAAAATGACTACAAAGACACACTAGATGACTTCAAAGAAACACACAATGACTACAAAGACACACTAAATGACTTCAAATAAACACACAATGACTACAAAGACACACTAGATGACTTCAAAGAAACACAAAATGACTACAAAGACACACTAGATGACTTCAAAGAAACACACAATGACTACAAAGACACACTAAATTACTTCAAAGAAACACACAATGACTACAAAGACACACTAAATGACTTCAAAGAAACACACAATGACTACAAAGACACACTAAATGACTTCAAATAAACACACAATGACTACAAAGACACACTAAATGACTTCAAAGAGAAACACAATGACTACAAAGACACACTAAATGACTTCAAAGAAACACACAATGACTACAAAGACACACTAGATGACTTCAAAGAAACACACAATGACTACAAAGACACACTAGATGACTTCAAAGAGACTCAAAACGACTTCAAAATAACATACAATTACTGTAGATAAACTAATCACCTTTTCATACGATTGAGAATGACTGAAAAATACATTTGAAATGACCAGAGAGACAAG